CCCTCTCTCCAGCTTCCTCTTTATATGAAGACAAAACATTTAAAATTTCAATTATAAATAAATGAAGAATTTTAGGAATACTATTATTTAAAACTGGTGCCTTTTATAAATACTTAACTTTTCTTGTAACTTTAAGGAAAATATGGGTGCAGACAGAAGTGACAAATTTCATCCGATCTGGCCACAGAAAGTGGTTTACAGCTGGTACCAAATGCAAGCGCATGGCTACAGACAGTTTAAAAAAGTTGCCGATCAGGTGAAATTCTGAACCCATATGGCATGAAGGTTCACACGAATATGTTACAAAACTAAGCATCTTCTCTAACTTCTGTCTGTGCTGCCTGCCAGCCTATTCCTTTTTTCAGAATGCAAGGGGGGAAAAGGAGCAGAGGGAGTTTGATTTGGGGGATTTTTAGCCCCCATTGGATGGTGGAACAAGTGAATTGGAGCTCTCCTGAGGTGGGAGGGCTCCAATTCACCAACCCCACCCTCTAGTGCTGCCTGAGGAATCCCTAGAACTCCCTTTGTTCCTTTCCCCCTCCCCCAACCCATTCTGAAAACTTTGCAGCTTCACAGGGAGGAGGGACCATTGCTAGGAGAAACTGACCGCAGCCAGATTCCTCTCCCCCCTGGAACCAGCAATGACCTTCTGTTTGTTCCAGGGGATCATTGTAAAAGTATTCTCAGTTACAGAGGGGAGCTGCATTTGTCTCTGCACACATACACGCATTTTGTTTATTCTTTAAATACTAAGAAGTAGTATAAGGTTATTTGAGATGTCTTTTTGCAATAATTTTGTGTTTTAAATACAAGCTGTATTTAAAAGTTGGTTTATTCAAAAGTACTTAACTCATTTGCCATTATTAGTGGTTACTAAAATAAGACAATTAACTATACACTCCTGCTATAGAAGGTCAGAATGTTGCAGATGCAGTGCTCCATGAAATATATGAGAAGCAAAGTTTGATTTGTAATATCTTTTACTGGTCCAATTGTGGAGCTGGAATGCTGCTTTGTGATTCAAAGCTCATCTAACATCTCTTCCAACTCTACAGCTGGCCTAATAAAAGATATTACAAAAAAATCCTTGCTTCTCATATATTAAATTGCAGAATAAGGCTATTTTCAGGTTGTAATTAAACAACTTCCCGATCAAGTCCAGAAAACAGTCTCTAAGAGATACTATGAAGAAGAATCAATGGCTTTGAACAGATGTCCATTTCTAACAGTGGAAAATTATCAGAAATTTCCAGGTCTAGACATCTTCCCAGGAGAGAGCACAGTACAGGTGATCAGGTGACCCTGGTCTGGGGAAGGGATGGGGAGCAGCAGCTGCTCCAGTGTCCTCCCTTACTGATCTAGGGAACCAGCACAAGCAGACTGTAGGCCTGAAATATGCCTTACCAAACTGGTTAGCCTGAGTAATGCCATTTTGACTTCACATAACTAACCATAGGCACTGAGTATTTGGGGACCAAAGGGCCCTGGCCCAACTGGGGAAGAAGACTGTCAGGGCCCAAACCTGAAGAAAGGAGAAAAACACAGGAAGCTACAGGTTTCCCCTTGCAGGCTGGAAGAGTTCCAGCCTGGGAGGGGCTGCTTGGGGCTAGGGGGAGCGGGGAGGGCAACTGGAGGCAGGGAGCACCATGTGCATGTGCACACACATGTGCACTTGGCAGCCATGTAATATCCGGAGAGAGCTGCAGGAGCTGCTCTCCACCAAGTCTAAGGGGACAGGGGGGAAGGGAACAGAGGTGATGCAGCAGAGAGGGGTGGGGGAGCAAAGCAACATGGCAGGGGGGCATATGCCCCCCAAGTTTTTTGCACCCACAGTTGGGTGCAAGGCTGCAGCGTGGCCAGACCAGCTCCACAGCCCAACAGGTGGGACCAATGCCTGCCAAGGTGAGGTGCAACAGTGGTGTTGGCACAGAATTGTGCCCCATGCTACTGCCAGGCATGCAGGGGGCACCTCACCTTGGCTGCCATTGTGGAACAGTGCTTCCTCCTGTGCTAGGTCCTTCCAGCTGGGCCATGGAGGCAGCTCCTGCCCAGAGCTGGTCCAGCTTGGCTGGAGCCCTGCTCCCTGCAGCCTTGCTGTGGATATAAGAATCTTGGGAGACGTGCTATGATTAAAAAACCCTGCCACATTGCCTGTACCCCCTCCTACCCCCCATGTCCCACACACTGAGGGGCTGGTGGTGGAGGGCACAAGTTCATCATCTTGTCCCCCTCCTTCCCCCCAGTAAAAATACAAGTCAGCGCCTATGTAACTAAACACCATTAAAGCAGAGCAAGCAGGGCAGTTTAGAGTGACCTCTGTATGAGCCATGTCAATGAAAAAGTTAAAAGAAGATGTGGTAGCAGTCCTGAGACAGCAGAATACTGATGACAGGAAAAACTACTGTAAAAGATGATTGGTACATACTTAGGACATATGGAACATACAGAAGAGAACTACAAAATAGTATATAAAACCTAAGAAAAAGAGATTTGGGAAGTGAGGAGAGAGAGAACACCACACAGGAAAATAAATTTTAAAAAATATATATTCTAGCTCTGGGGCGGTGATGGACACCTGACCAGTTGAACTCACTGTACCCATTAGAAGGCTCACATAAGAATATCTATATGGACGCTTAAAGGTTAAGTGTTGATTTTAAAGCCTGGAAGGGGCTTGTTTCACCCAGGAGAATTTGGATGAACATTTGTACCCTCATAGTGTCTATTGGTAGAAAAATAATGCCTGCATGTGGCCAGTGTCTCCTTTGAGGATTAGCTAAGATAAAGATTCCTTTATGAATAACTTAAAGACCATTTTAAAGCTTAACAATAAAACCATGCTTGGATGATGTTCCAAGAGTCCCCTCCACAGGAACAAAAATAATGGCCACACTACTACACAGCTATTAAAAGTTTACACATTCATGAACTGAAGATGCAATTAGGGCTCTTCATGAAGATGATGAGCGGAGATCCTGGTTTTTGCCAATTAAAAAAAAATCCCCAATTTTCACATTAAAAAAGTAACCCAAAAATCCACATTTTTCTGTGATTAAAATGGAATGCCACTAATATCTATATAGATATGCGTATAGTGATGTTTCATTTTAATCATGGAAAAATGTGGATTTTGGGTTACTTTTTTTAAATCTGAAAATGTATTTTATTTTTTTTTCCATCAGAGGAAACAAGGATCCCTGATGATAAACCAGTGAAAGGTAACAGCAATGAATACCTAAATTTTGGCAAGCACTGGATAGGGTGCTCTTGCACCTCCTATATCACTATGACTGGAAAAACTATAAATCACTCTGCACAAAAAAGTGAAACTGGTTGAGTTTGTGCCTTGGGCAGCAGGGTCATACCTGATAAGGTTTGCACTATGTAGTGTCAGAATGGAGGCAGCAGGCTCAAGGCTCTGGGCACCCTGAGTGGAGTAGAAACAATACAGTAAGAGGTGAGGTGTCACTACCAACAGCCAGGTTACCTTCACCTGGCCCCATGGCTGCTGCAAATTTATGTGCCAAACAACAGTGCAAGGACCTTATTTTGGCTGTAGGGCCAGGGAAGGCTTGTGGCATTGTTATCTCCCACAATGAGGGAACTTGCGTCCTGAACTCTGCCTGACTGGGGCCCTGAGCCCCCTGCCTCCGTTCTGGATCTCAACTATACTGAGCACCCCCGGCTTGTGCCCCAGTCACCTACCCTTAGTTACGCTACTACCTCTAAATGAAGAAAGCAGCAAATTCTCTCTCATCTCTGAGTTTCAGTGGTGCTCCTGTCTTAACTTCTCTTAGCTTATCATGGCCTGTTTGTCTCTTTTCTTTCAAGGATGCAAAAAGCACCAGAAGAAAGAGAGTCACCATACTACGTCAAGCAGCAACTGTGTTTCTGCATAGCACAGGACACCATTTGGACTGCACCATAAAGATGAGGAAGTTTGTTAAGGCTCTGCCACAGAATTTTTTTTTCATTATGATTATAATGCAATACCAAAATGCTATTCTCATTTGAGATGGCGAATGCAAAAAACTTTCAATTAAATGAAAGTTGCTTACTGTTCATTAGCTTGCCTATCTCAGAACAGCTACAAACAGAAGGTAGGAGCTGGGACCTATATTTACAATGTATTTGAAGCATCTGTATGATTATATAACCAATTTTACAAAAAAGATCTCAGTATTGATACAAAATAGCTAATAATATTATAATAATTATAACTTAGGTTATTTTAACTGTGCTCAATAAATTGATGTTCCTTCCAATTCTATGTGCCTACATTTCTGGAAAACATTTAAGTTAACAGAAATTTTCAACCAACTATACTGAGCATTAATTGGAGTTATTACCAGGTAAAGACTGTTGTGGCTGTACTTCTATATATCTATATCTATATGATCATCCTCCTGTTCCCTCCCGCCTCCTTGTCCCCCCAGATATGCACAATACTTATGGATTCTCTTTTCTTACAAGATCTGGTTTGGTATCAACAGCACCTGCAGATTCTAAGAACAGGACTTCTACTGGCAAAACTCCAAAGACAGCCTGCAATTTTTTTTAGAGGCAGATTCCACATTCTGTGAACTCTGTCCAAGTAAATTTCAGTGACTATTTGCTTTGTTGTTCCAAAACATTGATGCTACCTGGTCTGACATTAATAGAAGTATACTTTTAAAAAACAGGATATGTCTGTTAGATTATTTCTGTTGCATTTAAGCTATCCTTGTTATCTACAGTCTTGAAAAAGTCTGGATTCTGCACCACTAAGTGTTGCAAAAAGCATGAAAATCAAAAACCAAATGAATGACAAAACTTAAAACTACAGTTTTTTTAACAATCGACAATGGATAAATTCTTGGACACATGCAAAAAACCCATTTGGCTATGCATTATTCACAGGCATGTGGCTTGGCATATAAAAGATGCATTTCATTTAAAAATGAATGATGATAGAAATTTATACAGACTGATAATGAAATTATCCACAATAATACACATACCAGTGTTTGCTGCATCAACAGTTTGCAATGTCTCTGTCGACAATTTCTGAAGGCCCTGTTCACCATCTGTCTTCTCCGGTGAGTTATGTTGAGACTGCTGTTGTTCTTCAACTTCAGCAGCAAATGAAATTACACCTAAAACAAATATGTACCAGATGTTATATTAACCGGGGCATTAGTTTTATAAAATGGACTGCCAGGCTCACATGACTGTTGCCTCAGCTCTGAACTCAAAATATGAGTTAAAACCTAAATCCTAGGTGTCAGCTCTCCAATTATAAATTGACTGTAAAAGAAAATGCATCTTTTGTGAGTTCAAGAAAATGATCCCCATTTCAAAATTTCAGTATCCCAAGAGGGATAATTCTTTTAGCAGCTTACATGAAATAATTACAGACCAGTGATAAGCAATATAGCTAAACTGGTTTTTACAAGATTATCAAATATGTATGAGAATTTTACAGGGGTGTAGGTTGTAGTTGTGTTAGTTTAAGGACATAAGCAGACAAGGTTCTTTGGGTGAATCGGCTATCTTTTATTAGACCAACTTAAAAGTTAACTTTTAACTAATAAACCTAACTGGTTTTCCTATCATGCAGTTTTAGTATTGTACATAAATTGCAATAAAATATCTAGTAACTATTAAATATCCAGAGATTATAAATATATGTTCATTTATTACACAAGAAAAAGCAACTTTTAGGCTAACAATAGAGAATGATATTCAAGTATAAACTCCACTATATTGTACCAATGGCAAACCTAAACATTTAAAGCATAAGTTTGGAAAGAATCTGACTTTTCCTTTCATTTCAGTGCCTCTAACTATGCAGTGTAATCAACATATCTTCTTGAAATAAATATATTCCATTACTAATTGATTTTTGTCACGCTCAATATTTCATTAAGTTCACTCAAAACTGAAACAAATCTATTGAGTTGTACTTTTTGATATGGCACAGTTTTTTAGCTTTTGACTTGAGTTATCAACCAACATATGGTATGAAGTTTTGTAAAAAGATGGTTTAATTCTTGCTAATTGTACTGTTCATGACATTTATTTTGTTGGAGTTCAGCTTATTTAATGATACTACATGAAGAGACATTTTACTGCATAATATTTTAAGTGTTTTTGGAGAATGTTCCCACAGGGAGCTTTTCCAATTACATCTTATTAATCATTTTGTGATTTGCGCAGATGGACAAAATATTCATAGAGAAATTTGTTTTTACTTAACTTTGCTTCTGTTTGATTTCATGAAACATTGGGAAAATTGGTGCAATTAAAAAAAATATCAGAACATTTTTATGAAAAGGCTTTTGCCCATCACCACTCTATGGTATATTTTTGGATTTGTTTTTAAAAATGTGAGCCAGGTCAACAGAATCAACATGCCTTTAGCCAACTCTCCTGACAGTAGCCAAGTTCTCAGAGGTATCTGAATTTCTGCATTCTTTGAGTTAGCAAAAATGACTATCAACTGCACTTTGCTCCTTCCCATACTGTATGTGGGAACAACTTGCTGTCATTAAGCTAAAACTTTGATCCTCCTCATCACTTCATTCCCCAAAAGCCTGTCCTTGTATTCTAAACCCTGCAGCATTCTCATTTAGTTCCATTTGAAATAAGATTTAATGAACAATGACTTTTCCATTGCATTTAATGTTGTTAGACGGTCATCTGAATAAATGAATGTAATGAGTCAGCAGTACTCAAATGACTCCTGTAGTGAAATAGCTGTTATTTTCCCTCCAGTGTTTTGGCCTATTCTATTACTTAAGTGGCATAGCATATGACAGCTTCCACATGCTGAACAATCTAAAACGTTTTACAGTAATATAAGCTACTTCCAGCCTTTTCATGTTAAGTGTGCACATCAACTTAAACTACTATGGTTGTTTTTTGTTGTTTATTTGGGGTTTGTGGTTTTGTTTTTTTGTTTGTTTTTTTGGAGGCGGGGGGATGCATTTCTGCACCAAGCAGCATTTGAGTAGCACATCTATAATGAACCAAAATTGAAAACAATAAAAATGAAAATAGACATGCATCCTAAATGAAGGAACCATATTTCTTTTTAATTTCAATATGTGAAATTACAAATGTAACAGTTCATTCTCTAGGGGAATCTAAAACACCCAGCCACAAATAAAGGAAAACAAATAAAATAAATATCAACTAAACAAATAATTGAAAGGATCTTGAGATAGGCACTGAAGAGTCACAACTCGGTGTTAAGTCTCAGGACAAAATGTGAGTGTAGTTTTGGTCAACAGAAGTATATTACAGAGCAAAAAAAGTGGAGAGAGACCCTTATTTTATGAACAAGTACTCATGTATCTAAAATTGTCAAATGTTATGTGCAAAACTCATGGAGGGAACAGAAAAGATCTGTGACCTGTTTAAGAAAGGTTTTATTACTTGACCCCAAGTAATTCAGAATTTACTGTTACACACACATAAATTCCAAAAGTAGCAAGGATTCCTTAGGGTGATTCCTTTTATTGGACAAACTGTGTAGCTGGAGCAGAGTTGCACAAGCTTTTGAATACAAGCCATTCTTTGTCAGGTATGGCCAGAACAAGCTAGCCACTGCATAGTAAAGAACAATTGTCGGAGGATATGCCCAACTACACAGTTGGTTCAGTAAAAGCTCTCACTCTAAGAAATCCTTGTCTATTTTATAATTTCTTGATGATCATGACTACTACATTGTTATTACACAGCTATATAATCCATTACCAAAGACACATCTTCAATTAAATAACCATCATGGCTTAAGGGGTTTGTGAAAGACGTATTACAATCCATATACCTATACAATTTGGAATACATATATAAAATGTAAAAACGGGGAAGCATAGACATTACTGAGTACAAATCGAGAGGAAAACTGGATAGTTGATAAGGGAAACTAAAGATATCAAAAATAACCTTTTAACCTCTAATTCTGCACAAACATTATGGACAATAAGAAGGAATTCTGTAAATGAAACTTAACAGTTGCATAAGATCTAGCATCAGATAAACAGCAATAAAACATTGCCTGTCATGATTCAAATGTGAAGCTTCATATTCTGCATGAAACAAAACATAATTACATATTCATACTTTGGTTATTCATACTTTCTGTTCTATTAGTAACTGGGGTACAATACATAGCAACAGTGAACCTTTTTAAACCAACAGAACTAGATTACTTGCATCAATGAGTAATAAAAGAATTGGAAGAGGAACTCCCTGGATCATTAAGTACTGATTTTTAACAAAGCCTTCATATCTGGGGAATTTCAGTAAACTGGTGGGGGTAGGAAGACAGTAAGAGAGCCAAAGTTTTGCAATTATACAAGTAAATGGTACAACCACATAACTACAAGAAAATTAAACTGATATGGATACCCAGAAAATTGTGGAAAGGCTGAAATGATCCCACAGTTAGACAGGAATTAAACAACAATACTGTAATTAATGTATTAAAATAATTAAAATATGTGTACCTAATAGATCACAAAAAAATCATAATGAGGAATCAATATTATATGAGGGATGTTTCTATTAAGGTATGTATTTTTATGTTAAGGTATGCATCTCTCCTGCCACACCTTGACGGAAAGAGATAATAATAATAGGGAGGCTTCCCATAGGCCTTCTCATGGCCCCAGTCTAACTGCCCTCTCACTGGACCACTCAAGTCGACTGTGCCCTACAGGGCACCCAAACCATTAGGGGATAATTGTGTGGCTCCAATTCCCCCTTACACCATGCCCTAAGCCTCATGGGTGTTGCAAAAATCATTGTTCTCCTGTCAAGACTTCAGCCTTATAGGCCTCTGCTCCATTACTCTTGGCTAGGCCTTCTAGCCCAGGCCTACCATGTCAGACTTGGCTTTCAGGTCCTAGCTCCAGTTCATCCCTTCCAGTCACTGGGCCCCTGGCCCCTGTCTGCTGGGCCCCAGGCCCCTGTGTGGCTCTGCAGCCTTGCACTCTGCCCCTCTCTGGACTCAACAGTAGCTCACAGGCATGCATGGGATCTCCATAAACCATCCCTATAGTCCCAACCCAAACAGCCAGGATAAACAGAACATAAACATAAGCCCGTGAGCTATAACACAGCATAAAAGGGAAACAGCCTTCCACCCATTTAAGAGGGAAAACCTTCACTAATATGGCATACCTCCCAGCCTGGAGTCCTTGTGAGTTCCCGGGGCCTCACCGTTCTCACAGGCAGCAAAGTAATTGACCTAGCATCCCTGGGTGGCTCTCCTTGGCAGGAGATCCTTCCCTTGGGGCTGCCAGGGATAGCATAACTTGTCAGCCAAAACCTCAGCCTTATATGGTCCCAGGACCCTGCCCACTTCCTGTCAGCCAGCTGCCTGCAGATGCCTACTAATTCCTCCATTGGCCTTTTGTCCTGGCAACCTGCAGCTGTTGCATCCTGCCTAGCCTACAGTGTGCCCTGCCTGGGCTGCTTTTATCTCTAATGAGCAGGGAGCCCCAGGCTCTCTGTTACACAAAGCTATTCAATATCTTTATCAAAAACTAGAAGAAATCATAAGCATCACTGAAAAGTTGCAAATAACGAAAATTGGTTGTAAGCTAAATAATGATGGGGACACATTATGTGCATCTCTTGGTAAGGTGGAGCCTTTTGAAGATGCTTGAGAACAACCAAGATTATGCATACAAGAACAAAGAAACTAGGTCTCAGTTACAAAATTGGACTAGCAGCCCAGAGTGCAGTGAAACTGAAAAAGAATTACGGGTCATAATGCATGCTAGGTAATAAAAGACCAAAGTGCCCAATGGAATGCTGTTGCTAAAAGGAAGATCACACTCCTTGAAGACGTAATAATCAGGAGTAAAAAACAGGAGTGACATCGCTTCAATGCAGGGCATTTGAATCACTTAAATATAATATATCACTCTGATATCTATGCTTCAATAACAATTTCAACTTATTGAAAGGATTCAAAAAAGCTGAAGGAATGATTTCATATCTTATACTGATTCATACCTTATGCACCCTGCTTTTTTCCCACACCAGTTTTTCTGACCCCAGGATCTCCCAATAAAAATTGGAGGGCTTAAGAAAAATCTAAAAGGAAATATTGAAGAACAGGAGGAAACTGGTGATGGCA